GGATGCTAATGTGCTACTGTGGTTTATTTTTATGAAATGTGTAATCGTTTTAATGAAATTGTAATAATTTTTTTATAATTATTTTGATGAATATTTGATGGATTGTACTATTTTAAATTTCAAGTTTATTGACATTGGATGACTATATTAATGCTACGCTAAGCTATAAATTGGATGATTTTAATATTTATACGACAAGTCATCCCGAATCGACCAACCCAACCCAACCCGACAACCACATAATTGGGTTGTGTTGGGTTGGGTTGGGTTTCAAGATTTACATGGGTTGGGTTGGGTTGGATTTCGAACAAACCGACAATGTTGGATTGGGTTTGGGTTGGGGCAAAAACCAACCTAACCGAACCCACGCCCACCCCTAAGCTTATCACAGAATCTAGTGACATTATTTGCAATTAAGTAAAAAGTTGAGGATGTCTGGAGCTAAAAAAGATTGAAGGTAGATTAGTAATAGATTACAAAGGTTAGGGATGAAAATGCAAATTTCCATTTTTTTTTTAATAAGAGAGACCAAGAAGGTTTAACAGGGGTTTGAGAAACTGAAGCAATGGCAGACCTCTTTTGAGCACCTTAACGCTCAAACCCTAGCTACACTCCCACCTCAGCATAGCCCCACAACATGTCTCCCCCGAACTCTCAGGAATTCGAACCCGAAATACAGCCCGCCCACCCACCCGAAATCCAAGAAATAGAAACGGCGACGGAACAAGTTTCAGAAGAATCAATTAATGAAAGGAATAGTATTAAAGAAGAGGAGGAGGAGGAGGAGNGAGGAGGAGGAGGAGGAGGGAGAATGTGGATTTTGTTTATTCATGAAAGGGGGCGGCTGTAAAGACACTTTTATAGAATGGGAGAAGTGTATTGAGGAGGGTGAGAAGAATAAAGAGGACATTGTGGAGAAGTGTTTTCAGGCGACTGCTGCTTTGAAGAAGTGTATGGAAGCTCATGACGATTACTATGCCCCGATTTTGCAGGCGGAGAAGGCGGCTGAGGAGGAGGCTGCAAAGGAATTGGAGAAAGAGGGATTGAGTAGCAAGGAAGGCGGTGGGGAAGAATCCGGGTTGCAAAAAAAGGAGGAAACTTTTGAGAGGGCTGAGAAAAAGGAAGGATCTTGATTTGGGAGAATTGAGAAGATCGAGTTGTTTAGAATTCACACGTTCATTTTACAGATGGAAATTTTGAAGCTTTTGGAGAATGTTCTTGAGGTAAATTAAAGAAAAACGCTAGGCCAACTGGCCAAGGATAGTTTAATTGAAATTGCTGATGTTCTAGAATAAATGTTGATTTTAATGTATTTGGCCCCCACATTTTTTGTTTTCCAAACTTAGTGATCGGTTGTGAAGTAGTAAGCTGTGGTTTCTTGACATTGAATTGAACTTGACAGAATTCTCTATTTTTGTTTGGTTTATGGTTATTAGAAAGTTGAACCTGATTCTAAAGACTAGTTTTTTTCCCCCCAGTTGGGGGCTATACCAAAGCTTCTCAGAAATTATGTTGGGGCTATATATTTCGCCCCAACTCCACATCCAACTTTAAAAGAGAAGATAACGATTTTGGGAATTTAGTGATTACAGCTATAAATTTTGGAATATTATCGTGTTAGTCTTTGACTGATTACCTTGATAATATTTTTAACAACGTGCTTAGCAAATGTGACAAAAGTCTTCTGGTATAATTCTTCAAGGCTTATAAGATCATTATTTTGTTTTTGCTAATCTAGTAATCTCTGCATCCAGCAATTGATAAAGCCCGGTAGGCTACTGTTGACTATCAAACAAAGAGTAACAGAATAAGATGTGCTTGAACTTGATCGATGTCTGCAACTTGAGGGGTCCACACACAAGCATGGACACACTTGTTGTTAAGAAGAAACCTTTTGAATTAGTTTTCAATTTTTGATAAAAGAGAGAGAGAGAGAGAGAGAGAGAGAGAGAGAGAGAGAGAGAGAGAGAGAGATGAGGGAATGGAATAGGAGGTAAACTTAGTTGTATTAGAGATTGATCTAGAAGCCAACAATCATTCTTTTTATAGAAAGTATGAAGTACTTATTTACATGTTTGTACACAGTTACATAGGAAAAAAATTTACTTAGTGTTTGTTTGATTTTGCTAAAAATCAGTTTTTAGTATATTTTGATAAAAGTTGATGAAATTTATGGTTGAAATGTTGATAAAAGTTGTGGATCCCATCAAATGTGTTGTTAAAATTAATTGTTGACTTTGCTCTGATTTTTATCAACTTTTTAAGCAAAACCAAAAAAAGTGTTAATATCGGTTAAATGTTTTCAAAGTATGGAACTCTGAGAAGATGATATTCAATTTAAGAGAAAGGCGTCCCTTAATCCTGCAATACCATGGTCAATTTGAGGAAGCACTTTTGGGACATTGGAAAAAGCAGTTAGCAAATACCTTAACTTGCCAAAGATTTCCAGTTGCCTGATATGTGACTGCTGAGATCGCTGCACTTCTGCATCTAAGAAGTTTTATGCAAAAGAAATCTTCCTGTCTCTTTTGTGAATATCAAGTTTTTAATTTCCAAAAATGAAAATCTGTAACCCATAAATGTGAAGAGGGTAAAGAATACTGAATTGAATTTAACTGGATAAAAAGTGTCGATGTGGTGTTATAGAAGATATCTGCTTTCAACTATTGCTTTTGAATTATTATGTTGCTGAGCATTGATTACTTTTTTTACTTCTGAGCATTTTATATATGTGCATGTAATATAATAGGAGCTAAACCTTTCTTTATGGAGAGATAAATTGTTTGTGGAGATTCGCTTATATCTGCTTTTTTCATTATTGATTGTTAAAATTCTGCGTGAAGATATTGTTCTTGCTCCATTACCATAACTTTCAGCCATAGAAATTCCCCAGTTCAATTAATGTTGCTGATTTGAGGAAGCATTAATAATTAAATGTCTATTTCTCATTAGTATACTGCAATTTGATATCCAATTCTTAATCTTATGCTGCTATGTTATTGACTTGGGCTATTCCTTGTGTATTCGTTTCCTATCGCCAATATCCCGATTCCCTGTCATAATATTTATAAGCACGTCTGCAGCATAAAATTTTGAGTTTCGGACGTGCAACTTGGTGGAATGTGGAGATGAATTTGGTATTTCTATCAAATTGTTTGTGTCGTGATTGTCAATCTGTAGCAGTGTCTTTAGACAGTTTTAGTGAGCAGTTCATTTGTGATGCTTGTAGTAATGAGGAAAACTTGTACTCTTGTAAAAAGCATCATCAGTGCAAAATGTTATTCAAATTGGGATAATTTCATCTTCATCTAGTGGTGTCAACTGTCAAAGTGGGTCGGGCTGTGATCTGCCTGCCTGACTTTGAGGGCAGCTTTGTACGGCTTGGCACTATGGCCTGCATGCATGCATGCGTGTGCCTCACAAAATTGTGGTGTACAGGGCTTGGACCAGACCATCTCAGGCCTGTTATTGGATTGTGTTGGGCTTGTCTTCAAGCAGCTATCCGGACCATTGAAAGACATCATCTTTGTGAGTTCGTAAATCCAACTTCGCCCTGATCATCTCATATGCCATTGATCACAATTAGTTAGCTTTTTTCATGTAATGTTTGGCACACTAGCATTACTGAATTAGACAAGATTAAAGATGTGATACGGGATAATTTATCACCTAGTACTTGTAGATGTTCATGAGGAATCAAAAAGCTACAGTAAATCTGCAACAATTATAACATCCGGAAACAACTTACGTAGCCGTTAGAATTGAATTTATTGGCTAAAAGTAAGTTTTTTTTATTTGGAGACCTAATTAAATGTTGACCAATAGTGTAGGACCATAGAACAATTTCTTTTACACATGAGGATTTTTCCTTGGCTAAATCTTAGTAATATAATTACACGATTGATTTAAATATTGTATGTCAATTAACCTAATTAATTGGTTAATTATTATAATTAGATAAACTTTCATTTATTAAAATTAGAAATATTATTTATGCTTGTGTAATTAGCAATCTAATATTTTTATATGGTATATTAGAATATTTATTTTGACATAATTTAAATCAAATGTTTNCATTTATTAAAAGTAGAAACATTATTTATGCTTGTGTAATTATCATTCTAATATGTTTATATGGTATGTTAGAATATTTATTTAGGCATAATTTAAATCAAATGTTTAATTATATGGCAATAACTTATTAGTAGCAATTATATATTTATTAATATAGTTAATTGGGTAATTAGTTGAGTGATTGATTACACCATATGGAAACGTGATGTATTAATAAGAGAATAAATGTTTGTACCAAAATAGGTAATACAGTCAAACCTTAGAGACCCCTATATATACCACTGCATATTACTTACACTCACACATAACTAAACTTGTACTTTACACCTTTCTTTCATTTAACTCATCTTCAACATATACTTTCTCATTACAAAGTTTTGCACGTACGGTGTCCAAGGAATTTTGGAGTGAAAGTCTAACAAGACGATTTCCTTCATTTACTTTGATCTTTTTCCATACAATTGTAAGTATAGTAGTACGAATTGTTATTTCATTATTTAAATTATGGAAATTTATGTTATGAATATGATGATACAGAAACCCAAGTTATTATTATGATAAGAGTCATATGTGTAAGTTCAAAGGACCGGAGTTTAGTGGCTCTACGTGCAGGAATTATAGTCACGAAATTCGAATTTTAATTCTCTGTGACTCCATATGTATGTTATGATTTTCCGTATTTAAATATGAGATGAAATTCGTTGTTACTCATTTACTAGTATTTATGTCTCATATATAAATATTAAAATTTTTATAGGTAACTAAAAAGGTGGGTTTGAGGTGATAGTGATTGTGCTTGCGTGGGTGAAAAATAAAGAATAAATTATGTAGTTAAGAATTTTAATAATAGTCATTGTATTTCTTTTAAAACTAATTTTAAATCCTCGCATGTTAAGAAAACATATCCTATTTTTTTTCTTTTGTTTATGAAAGTACTCTTTTATGGTACATGTATAATGATTCCAAAGATAAAATTTGGGTCGTTACAACAATACTTTTCCAATACTGCTAGAACTGTTATTGCAAATCCAATTGCAAAGAGAAGCTGCATTTCAGAAATCTCAAAAGCCCAGAAACCCAAGATCCACAAGATAAAGAAACGGTGGAAGAAATTTCTGAAGAATCAAATAATGAAGGGGATGGTATTGAAGAAGAAGAAGAGAAAGGTGAAGGTGAGGTAAAGACACATTTACAGAATGGGAGATATGTATTGAGGAGAGTGAGAAGAATACAGAGGACATTGTGAAGTACTTTTTTTCAGGCCATTGTTGCTTTTAAGATATGTATGGAAGTTCATGCCGATTACTACACCCCAATTTTGCAGGCTAAGAAGGCAGCTGAAGAGGAGGCTGCAAAGGAATTGAAGAAAACAAAGAGAGATTGAGTAGCAAGGAAGGCTGTGGGGAAGAATCTGGTTTGGGAAAAGGAGGAAACTTTTGATGTGGCTGAGCAAAAGGTAGGGTCTTGATTTGGGAGAATCGAGGAGATCGAGCTGTTTAGATTCATACGTTGATTTTACAGATCAGAGAATGTTCTTGAGGTAGATTAATCGAAAACTAGTGAGTTGCTGGTAGAAATAGGTATAATTCTGAATAATTTTATTTGATCTAAATGTCTTTCAATGTATTCTTTTGGGGTTTTTATTTAGTGACAATTCTGAGCCTGTTATCATAATTTACACTTACTTTACACAAAATATATGTCGAGCATGTTTTCGAGCTTGTGAGTTATGTTGTATGTGGCTTCGGTAATTTCGGTTATACATTAATAGTGATTAAAAGATGCAATGCACTTATATTGTGAAAGTGGTAAAATGGGATTGAGGAGAACTGAAACTGTAGAATGTAAAAATAAGTTATTCGATTCAGGATGTTGAGCTGAATGTGGTTAGTTTTTTGATGAAATCCGCAAAGGTGATTTAATTGCCAGGCCAAGGCTTGTTTAATTGTTTGAATTAATTGTTTTTGTTCTAGAATAATTGTTGAATTTAGCAATCACATTTTTTATTTTCTAAGTTAGGAACTGATTGTGATTTATTAGGCTGTATTATCATGGCGTG